CGACTTGTAATCCTGGACTGAGCAAAGTGTTATTTTCAAACTGTTCAGGGGTCAACATTTGTCTGCAAAATGAGAAGCAACACCAGGTTTTTGTTGGGTTTCAATCTAAGGCATCATTAAACAGACACCATGTGCCAATTATGACCAATTAAAAAAAAAAAAAATGTGAAGATTAAATGTCCAATAAAATGTTGGAGCTGCACTGGGTTTAATTCTGCAATAAGACTTGTCACTTTGCTGTACAATGCAACAGTTCTTCACAAGTTTCAGTTCAAGTTCTTGTATATATCAAGTATAGTAGTTAGATGATACAAGGCAATAGAAAGTCATCAAAAATAGATATAGTTGGCGGTTATGATTATTGTAAAACTAGTAGAAATATTGTACTTTCAAAATAGCACTACTTTCTTTGTTGATTCTTCTACTGGATAATGTACTGACAATAAAACGAACACGTATATATCATGTGTTGAAGCAATTTGTAGGATCTTATGTGGTATCATAGCCTAAATCATTTTCATCTGTGCCTGCCTCAAAATTCTTGTTAGAAAATTAAAGCATTCAAACAATTAGGTGTCATAGAGGATTGCCAAATAACAATCTCATAATGTGACATGTTTATCTGTATCTGTCTTGACATTATACTTATTAGAACATACAGAATTTAAACAACTGCGTTTGGCACGAATAATGCAAATATTACATGAAGAAAGTAAAATTATGAAGATATTTACTGAAGCTATAACATGTTTGGTATTGAACACAACATACTCTGCCTTTATTCTCTCAATTCTTGGAACCCACGCATGGCTAGTGCTGTCCTGTCCCTTCACAAGGATGCAATCAAAGAGGGCTAATTACAGTTTCCGATACATTGAATGTTATAATTCAAAAGGCAGAGATATTGCAGTCCAGCTGCAAACCACAACACAATCTGCCAACTGCGTCTTTAAGGATGAAAATAGAGGAAAAAATTTGTAACTTCTGTGAAGATGGAGTCATTTGTACTTGTACATATGACTAATACAAGCATCTAAGGAAATACATTAACAGTAAATAAAAACATTGCACCTCACTTATGAGATCAGTATGAAAGAGCACACTCCTGACATAAACAAATCACTATCATGTTGCTGCCAGTTGTATACGGTAAACAAAGACTATACAAAATATACATGTCTGACGAGTTAGCTAACTGGGTGCTTCACACTGTTGCGTTTAGTAGAGAGAGCTAACTGGGTGCTTCACACTGTTGCGTTTAGTGGAGTGAACTAACTGGGTGCTTCACACTGTTGCGTTTAGTGGAGTGAACTAACTGGGTGCTTCACACTGTTGCGTTTAGTGGAGTGAACTAACTGGGTGCTTCACACTGTTGCGTTTAGTGGAGTGAACTAACTGGGTGCTTCACATTCTTGCTTTTAATTTGCACCTGTAAACTCTTAGTTGCCATAATTACATCTGATATTGCTATCCTGGTGTTTCTAGTGTGCCGTTTCAGCTGCAGTTTGTAGTTCACTTACGTATATCAAGAGATGATTTATAAAGCTTTTAATAATTTTCTTTCTCGTCTCCAATGACAAAAGAAAAGACTGCATATAATTTTCTTCATTTTGAAAAATGTTGTCTTTGCTTGAAATGTTCTAAATTACTTTATATAATACGTCTTCCATCTTATGCAATCAGGGTATCCAAGTACTTGAGAAAAACTTATCAACTTTCTTGAGGTTTGTCTTATTTACTTTGATGTTGCATTTTAGAGTGTCAGTTTTCTTTGTAATTATCATTACTTCTGTTTTTCTGATGTTCAGCTTAAACCCTTGTTTTGGGTTTTGTTACAATTATATCCATCATTTCCTGTAGCTGTACTTTTCAGCGATCAAAACTCTATGGTCAGCACATCGCAGGTTGCTAACAATATGCCCACCAACCGAAATTTCGGGTGTATCATGTATGGATCTAATTATTATTTCCCTGTACAAACTGAATAAATCAGGTGATAGTACACATCTCTGTATAACGCCTTGTATCGGGAGATTGTACACATCTCTGTATAACTCCTTTATCGGGAGATAGTACACATCTCTGTATAACGCCTTGTATCGGGAGATATTACACATCTCTGTATAATGCCTTGTATCGGGAGATATTACACATCTCTGTATAACGCCTTGTATCGGGAGATATTACACATCTCTGTATAATGCCTTGTATCGGGAGATATTACACATCTCTGTTTAACGCCTTGTATCGGGAGATATTACACATCTCTGTTTAACGCCTTGTATCGGGAGATAGTACACATCTCTGTATAATGCCTGGTATAGTGAGATAGTACACATCTCTGTATAATGCCTGGTATCGTGAGATAGTTCACATCTCTGTAAAACGCCTTGTATCGGGAGATTGTACACATCTCTGTATAATGCCTTGTATCAGGAGATTGTACACATCTCTGTTTAACGCCTTTTATTGGGAGATAGTACACATCTCTGTATAATGCCTGGTATCGTGAGATAGTTCACATCCCTGTATAACGCCTTGTATCGGGAGATATTACACATCTCTGTATAACGCCTTGTATCGGGAGATTGTACACATCTCTGTATAACGCCTTGTATCGGGAGATAGTACACATCCCTGTTTAACACCTTGTATTGGGAGATTGTACACATCTCTGTATAACACCCTGTATCGGGAGATTGTACACATCTCTGTTTAACACCTTGTATTGGGAGATAGTACACATCTCTGTATAATGCCTGGTCTCGCGAGATAGTTCACATCCATGTATAACGCCTTGCATCGGGACATAGTACACATCTCTGTAAAACGCCTTGTATCGGGAGATTGTACACATCTCTGTATAACGCCTTGTATCAGGAGATTGTACACATCTCTGTATAACGCCTTGTATTGGGAGATAGTACACATCTCTGTATAACGCCTTGTTTCAGGAGATAGTATACATCTCTATTCGACGCCTTGTATCGGGAGATAGTACACATCTCTATTAGACGCCTTGTTTCAAGAGATAGTACACATCTCTATTTGACGCCTTGTTTCAGGAGATAGTACACATCTCTATTCGACGCCTTGTATCGGGAGATAGTACACATCTCTATTCGACGCCTTGTTTCAGGAGATAGTACACATCTCTTTTCGATGCCTTGTTTCAGGAGATAGTACACATCTCTATTCGACGCCTTGTTTCAGGAGATAGTACACATCTCTATTCGACGCCTTGTTTCAGGAGATAGTACACATCTCTATTCGACGCCTTGTTTCAGGAGATAGAACACATCTCTATTCGACGCCTTGTTTCAGGAGATAGTACACATCTCTATTCAACGCCTTGTTTCAGGAGATAGAACACATCTCTGTATAACGCCTTGTATCAGGAGATAGTATACATCTCTATTCCACGCCTTGTATCGGGAGATAGAACACATCTCTATTCGACGCCTTGTATCGGGAGATAGAACACATCTCTATTCGACGCCTTGTATCGGGAGATAGAACACATCTCTATTCGACGCCTTGTATCGGGAGATAGAACACATCTCTGTATAACGCCTTGTATCGGGAGATAGAACACATCTCTGTATAATGCCTTGATTCAGGAGATAGAACACATCTCTGTATGACGCCTTGTATCAGGAGATAGTACACATCACTATTTGACGCCTTGTATCGGGAGATAGTACACATCTCTGTATAACGCCTTGTATCAGGAGATAGTACACATCTCTGTATAACGCCTTGTTTCAGGAGATAGTACACATCTCTGTATAACGCCTTGTATCGGGAGATAGAACACATCTCTGTATAACGCCTTGTTTCAGGAGATAGAACACATCTCTGTATAACGCCTTGTATCAGGAGATAGTACACATCTCTGTATAACACCTTGTAACAGGAGATAGTACACATCTCTATTCCGCGCATTGTTTAATGGTTTGGAAAGATCCATCTTGGTTGTCGATCCTTATGGTTGTTTCTTGTCTCCAGTATATGTTTTTAATTTAAAAAGAAATTATGTTAATATCTTTACCATAAATATTTAAGGTTCAAAATGTCGCCATGTTTCACTCTATCAAATGCTTTAGTGTAATCAATAAAGCACAAATGCATATCTGTGTTCATTTCAATCATTCTTTCTGAAAGTGTTCTCAAAATAAATATGGCGTTTTTTGTGCCTTTATCTTCAACAAAACCACACTGCTCTTCTCTAATTTCTGGTTTCTTTTTTCACCTTATTATTCTTATGATAATTGTCATTATCATTTTAGTTAAATGACTCATTAAACTTCTACTTATATTCTATACTTCTGGTAGCATTTAATTCGATGTCTGTTCTAATGGCTCTTTTGGCATTTGTCATTGTTCGTCTATACTGCTTATCTTTTCAATAGTATTGTATCTTTTTTGAGCAGTATCTCTTACTCATTTTTTAATTTGATTTAAACATGACCAAATCTAGCAAAGTATTTCTTGGAGCTTTTTTCAGTTTCTTCAGCTTTGTGATTTGTTTTCTAATGACTGGCACTTGGTCACTATTACAGTGTGCACCTGGTCTTGTTTTTACTGACAGCAAACTGTTTCCGAATCAATTTAATCAATCTGATTCCGAAATTATTTCTAGGGCTTTTCACAGAACACAGACGTCTAGGATGCTTTTTAAATAATTTACAATTATCATTTTATGTGCCCTAGTCCATTCAACCAGTTTATCTCCTCTCTCATTTCTCTCCTCAAGACTATATCAGTGTACACTTTAAAACTGGGTTGGGTCATTTTGTCATTTAACATGCAAACAAATTATGTAGCTTTCAATGTACACTTGTAAACAGTTTTTGCCGTTATTACATTTGACACTCATATCTTTTTCAAATCAACTTTTCAAGTACTGTAAATCATATACTCAACATAAGGTGGCCCTATAGAGATTGTGCAAACAGTTGCAAATGAAATTAGGCATCTCCGACACGACCAAACATCACAGAAAATCTTTAACCGGAAATTTCTTTTTCATGATGTTACCGAAACTGTCCTCGGCCATAACAGTGACAGTAGTGGTGCCAGCCGGCAAGTTGCTGACTTCTGACCGACACAGCTTGAATTCACTTGGAGGGTTACTGCCTAGAAACTCCCTGTGGTGGAACACTGAGCCTTCAGGTTCTGTCCGGAGTTCAACAACCCGCAGGCCTGACTGTGTTCTGATGCAAGCACTGTTTGAGCATGATATGTAAAAAATAATCTCTTATATAAATGTTCATACATTGTGTATTGTATCCGTTTAATAATTTCTTTATAATGTACTTCTAAAAAGCCCAAATTATCTTCTTCTACTTGTTGGCGTTCACCAGCTGTAAACTCCAGAGAAAAGTTATGTATGTTCGTCCACTTCTGGATCTAGTCTTGTTCTAGAACTTGAGTTTTGCGTTCACAACGGTTTTACAAGATCTGGCTTATTTTTATACAGACTGTTGGCGCCTCGCCACTGAGAGGCAGGGGGAGGGGGGGGGTGCACCCCGATTTCGAAAACCCCTAATTACGACATACTTGTTAAGAGCGGAGTGGGTCCACGCCACCCCCCCCCCCCCCCATAGATATGGCCTAGCCATAGATTTGGCCTAAGGGTTCAAAGTGGTTTCTGGGACCTCTCCGCGGGTGATCCTCATCCACATGGTGGTACTTTGTGTCACCGGATGTTTATCGCTTGTGTGATGTCCTGGTTGGGGTGAGAGGGGGTATAAAAAAAAAAAACAGTCAGAATGTGACTGAAGAACACTTCTTTTTTCTTTTCTTCTTCTGTTTATTTTTGTTCTCACCCTCCTCCTACTCTTCTGTCTTCTTTATTTTTCTGGAAAGAAATTTCCATGGATCTTGGTCACCGTTGACAGATTAAGAGTTATTTTACCGGACTGTCAGGAAACAAACATGATAATGATCTTCAGTTAGAGTTGAATTAGGGTTTAACATATTCAGTCCAAATACCTTTATACTTGACTAGAACGTCACTGTAACAAATGTGTCAAGTGGAGCTTAACATGCAAAATGCAGCTTTCCTATCAAAGAAAGCTGCTGAAACAGTAAGTTAGCTTCAATACAGCGCCAGACCTACGTTGACTGTCTGCATTCCTGCCAGCAGTCTTCAATCTCCATGACTGGTATCAAGATGTTGTTTAGCCTACAACTCCATCCATTGAAATCAATTTTGTGATTCCTCAACTGATTCCCGAGACACTAATGCAGCGGTTGTCCGGTACACTCATGCCACGAATACTAAGATATAATCCGATAGCACAGATTATGAACAGATTATGAGCAGACTATGAACAGATTATGGACAGATTATGAACAGAAATCACAAAGAAATAAGTTCACTTCCAGCATGTTGTGAGCTACAAACAAACATCGTATCTTCAATTCACCTCATCAGATGTTTTCATCAACAACATTGCACACATTAGCAACTTTAGAGAGAGCTAATATTTCTAAAACACTAACCCATGAAGTGCTGGATTCTTTCTGGCATCATTTGGGTTTGGTTTATTGAACCATCTGAAACATGAAAATATATCATCATATTTTAAGGATAATATAGTTACAGAAAAACAGAATCATAAAAGTTATTCGTTGGAGGAAATCATGCAACAATATATTATTTGCTTCTTTTTTTATTTTTTGTGCATAATGTAGTATTCTTTTGCAATGTCAGTCTGTGGAGATGAAAGATCTCTTGTGCAATGTCAGTCTGTGTAGATGAAAGATCTCTTGTGCAATGTCAGTCTGTGTAGATGAAAGATCTCTTGTGCAATATCAGTCTGTGTAGATGAAAGATCTCTTGTACAATGTCAGTCTGTGTAGATGAAAGATCTCTTGTGCAATGTCAGTCTGTGTAGATAAAAGATCTCTGGTGCAATGTCAGTCTGTGTAGATGAAAGAGCATTGGAATCAAAACGTGTTTTCAGGCAGAAGTTGTTGGACACCTCTATTATATCGCCCGATGTAAAGCATAGATTGAGTTAATAGTTTTAATATACACCTGTAGGGTTATTTTGTTCCAATGCTCCTTGTAACATCACTGAACATTAGAGTCTATAAATAAGAAACGGTTGCAACCAATTTAGTACAGAGCATAGGAATGTTAGTATAATTTTGGGCCAACGTAGTAAAAAAAGTTTTTCAAATAATAATTAAATGAATGTGGTCAATTCAAGATCGATATCACATTGAGAGACTTTAAAGCATTCTTGATATCATTAAAATACAAGCACATACAAAGGTATATATATTTTAATGGGCTGGTCTTTGCTTAAAAATGGCTATAATCCTTTGATAAAATATTCACACTCAATGACTTCCACAAGATAGGCAATTAAAAATGTGAACTGTGTCAATGGTTGCTGTGGCCGATTAGGCTGTCATGTGCGTGGTGGTTGATTAATAACGATGGGAGAATCTCAGATTTTATAATGATAATAATAAACAAAGACTGTTTTAACACTTGAATATTAACTCTTTCAGTCCCAGGGAGGTTTAGCATCAGAAGCCCAAGGGGTAGTCAAGAGAGACGTAAAATTGGTGCATTTTGCGTTCAATGGGCCTCTCAGTAGGAACTTATGAACGTATGATGCATTCCCTGGGACTTAAACCCACAGAAATGTTTTCAAGTAGCTTGCTGCTTTTAAAGAATGGCAAAAACGCAAAGTGATGACAAATGAAATAATATAATTACCTAATATAATAGTTTATGTCCCAAAAAACAAGTATACTAAATAAAATCAAAACGTGTTTTACACTGCATTATTTTGAGATATGAACCCGTACTTGTGAAAACGAAGAACAACAGCTGATGATCTGTGCCAGTGTGCCCCGGTTAAACAGATGACCTCTGGTCTAACTGTGCCCGCGGAGGTTGATGATGATTCATCGGGAGAGCTGGGCAGTTTTGACGGAATTGGAGACATTGAAGTTGTGGAGGTAGCTGCCGATGTGGAACATCTGTTTCCTGATTAAAAGTAACAACAAAATTTTTATATTGGTTTAAATTACAAGAAATATGACGCAGTAATGTTGTAATGTGAGATGTTTTTGCATATATATATATATATATATATATATATATATATATATATATATATATATATATATATATATATATATATATATGACACGATATAAATGGGATTTTAATCTACACATCTAATCAGTCTTGAATCTAGTCATCTGTCTAAATATTCTAATGTTTATACATAAAATAATTGCAACAACAAAAAAAAGCATACTTTCCCAACAGCAATCATTGCTGCAATGTCGCAGCTAACTCTTTATGAAAAACGTAAACAACAATTGTCTCTATGTTCATCTTATTTAAACTACTAGCACATGATTAATACTGATTCTACAAACTTCCATGCCTTCTAGTACTGTATGGCGTGTTTCACTTCCATCGTAGTTCTTCACAGAAACATTCAGAGTTGTGGGAAGTGTCGCCGGCTTGAATCCCGACTCCACACCAACAACCAAAGGGGGTTGCACAATGTAACTTCTGTCAGGGACGGTACAGATCTGCTGACGAACATTGCATAGATACATTCAAAACAGTGTTTCTGTTATGTGTTTCTGTTATGTGTTTCTGTTATAAATTTAAACGAAGCGCACACAAACAATATATGATGCAATTAACTGTATGACATGTGTCGCTGTATCTCGTAAGTGTATTATCACAGGGTTATATCAGTGTTCTTGTATATAGGAGGGGGAGAGATCGGAATCAAATAGTTGAAGAGTTACAGGCAACAGTAGATAAGGTGATCGACTGGTGTACAGAGATGAGTGCAGATATCAACCTAGAAAAAAACAACCGTCCTGTTTTTTTTTTTTTTTTGGACAACAGGATTGTTAGAGCTGATATTCTCAGACTTAAAATAAATGGCAGTGACATCAAAAGAGACAGCAGACTGCGGTACCCGTGTATCACCTTAGACACTACATCGTCCCTTTAAAATGGTAATTCAATAAATATACGGAGTTAAGGGTCTATAATTTTGTTAGAGATTGGGTGGGCTAACAATATGTTTAATGAATTCTGTGCGGTACCCATACAGATATAAAGTTTCTTCGGGAGTTTCAGATTTCGACAGTTAGAGTATATCCATATATATAAAAATCAATGTTTGTGTGTTTGTTTATGATCTATAGACTCGGAAACTACTGAACCGATTTAGCTGAAATTTGTTTTGATACTGGATTTTCACCCGTCATGGTTTGAAATTCTACTTGTCATTGTTTGTTGGACAAATCTTCGAAACTAATATTTCACTTTTAGTGACATTTAATTAAAGCCACGTTCGTAAATGCGCATGAGCCGTAGTCAGAACGCAAGACCCACCGTTTGCCGGCGAGATATGTACAGCCAACGCCTTCTCTAATAAATAAAGTAGGCCATGGTACAGCAAACAAGACTATCTCTATATCTGTGGAGGCAATGATTGCGACAATAACCATATTAGACACGATTTCTGTTTCCTGTTTTTTAAAAAAACCTATGAGTTGGAGAGTAGCCGATGGATTTGAAAGAGGTGGGGGGGGGGGCATCAAGGACTTTCTCGACGTCTGCGCAGACAATGATTGCGACATTACCCGTGTTAGACACGTGCTATGTCTATTGTTGTTCCGTTTGAATAATACATCTGGAATATCTGTCTACGAGAAAACAATTGCCTGCGGTTTTGAGTTGTGTTATAATCGGGACACAGTAGTAGGAACTCATATCTCTAATACTTTTTTTTTCTCTTTTCATTGTTAGGTGGAGTGGTTGCTTGGCTGAATGGTTAGAACACTGGGCTCCTGTGCGGGAGACCATGAGACCAGGGTTCGAATCCACCTTACAGTTTTTTTTTAAAACCTGGGAGCAAAAAAAAAAAATCCTTACCTGCACTGTCAGGGCGACAGCACTAGCAATGTGGCACTAAATACTTAAAAAAAAAAAAGTACAGATATGTGGGTAAACCGGTTGATAATTAAATCTGACTATTTCGCATACTTATGATTTCATTTCAAACTTTCCGATTGCATGATTATGCTGAATTTTCATAGATTTCCATTTATTTTTATTTAGATTTAATTATTTCATCTGCGTTTGAATTTTAGGCTGTGCTGTTTACCATAGAGTTCATTTCTTATTTATGGTGTATTTTTCCTGTTTTCATTGCTTTTCACTTGGGTTTTTTTTTTTCTCCCAACTACTTCGATGAGGAAAAGAGTAGTCGGTGAATTGGGGGGAGGGGCACAAACTGTTTACTGAGAGAGCTTTAGGTCCCAGTAACTGCCTTACCCACTCAAAAGTAGCAGCAGCAGTAGTAGTTGTGATTGGGCTGTTGCATCGTAGTGCTGGCATGCCGGAGATCGCCGGTAAGGTTATGGCGTTCTTCTGTCGGGGAGCGAAATTATACATCCTAACCTGACCAGTCCGTGGCGACAGCACTAGCCATGCGGTGCCAAATCTTCTGGCTCATGACTCCCTGTCTACAACGATGGTAAAACAGATAGCAGTGACATTATTTTAGCTAATGTGGTGGTGGTCGTGGTAGTAGTTGTACTGGTACTTGAAGGATGGTGTGGTAAATATTACACTAGCCCCATTTACTACCTATTACAATTCCTGCTCCCCATTTTAGTCCGGATGGACAGGGATGTCAATGTCAGTCCCAAAAAAATATCGCCAGGTGATATTTTCAAATCCGTCGAAGAGGGAGAGAGCAGTAGTTGGTGGAAGGGGAAATCGTTGACTTAAAGAACTTAGCACATGATTTTAAAGATCTCATTACTTAATTTGTTTATATTTTACTATCGCTACCTCTGCTATTCTAATTTTTTTATGACTTACTTTTTTTTTTACAAGTACAGTAGTAGCTTTACTTCCGTTTCCTAATAAAATATAAACAGCTTTAGCATGTGATAACCAAATAACCATTTTTTTAACTGTGCTAATAACACCATTTAAACGACCACTAATATAAAGACATGTCCTAAAGACATGTTCTAAAGACAGCAAACCAGACTATCTATATATCTGTGCAGACATTAACTATATTAGACACGTGCGATTTCTATTGTCTTTCTTTTCCAAAAACCTTTAATGAGGGAGAGAGATGGATTTGGTGGTGGTGGGGGGTGGGGATCGAAGACTATCTCTATATCTGAGCAGACAATGATTGCGACAGTAACTATATTAGACACGTGCGATTTTCTGTTTTCTTTCTTTTCCATTTAGCCATACTATGCCTCAGCAACGTGTGGCCGGGTACAGCTAGTTTGATATAACACTTTCTGGCAGGGATGAACAAGCTTCTTACTAGGGGATGCTTGCACTGGCAATTTATAGACCTGTTCAAGAAGATGCGATTCGTGGGCTTAAGGACTTGTCTGATGGCGGATGAGGAGGATCGGTCAATTAACTAACTAACTAACTAACTAGCTAGCTAATTAACTAGTTACCTACCTAAGTAACTATCTAACCTAACTAACTAACTAACTAACTACCTAAATGGCTAGCTAACTAACTAATTACCCAACTAACTGTCTAAAGCTGTGCAAGATTAAATACTTTCCAGGCTGTGTGTCTTTCATATATGCTGATCTTTGCATACGGCCATCATCTCTACGTCTAATCAGTGTATCTAAGAATATTAGCCAAATTATTTTGTTTTGCTCATGTTGTAACGATGTTATTGTGTGCTCATGTTGTAACGATGTTATTGTGTGCATAATTCATGAGAGATGTCATCCAGGATGGGACCAAGGGTGCTCCATTAATTTAGTGTATTTTAAAATAGTATTAGCAAGCCTAGGGGTCACTGTTTCACCAATGCCTTTTATGTAAACGAACATTATCTAGGTTCTTTACACTTGCGACACATTGCTAACCACGGATGTGTTTATTTATGTCATCCATTCTTCTTTTAGATTCATGATGTCAAGCAGTTCAATGGATTCAAATGCATCTGGTAATGTTTCACTTTAAACCGACTTCTTCACCGGTCTTAATACTTTGGCTAACCTTTTCGCTCATCGATGTTGCTTGGAGTTTTTCATAGACACAGTAATTGCAAAGTCTGTGAGCCACAGGGCGATGCACAAAATCGCGGGTGGCTTGAATGACGGTTTTGTTAACCTTGTGCAAGATTTAAATACGCGTTTTTACATAGTCTTCTTGGCCTTCCTCTCGCCAGTCGCCTAGATATTCGGCTGCAGAAGATCTCATTAGGTAGTTGTATTTTTACTAGAGACCGAACCACTGCATTATCTGCCTTTCAATCTAATTCAGGCAGGGTATGTTTCCAGTCTTCTCTATTATTTGTGATTTCGTCCCTTCGTGTTTTGTCGGTTACATTTTGGAAACAGTCCATTTCGCATGTGGCTTTTGTCTGTCCCTGTAATCTATTCGTTGTCCATTAGCACTGACAGCACAAAGTGCGAACGAAGATGCTAATAATCTGTCTCCCTTTCGAATCTGCCATCTTTGGTAAATATGCTTCTTAGGTATTTAAATTCCTGTACTTGTTTGACTGTAATGCCATTGACATTAACGATTATGTTATTACGTCTTCCAGCCTTACTTTGCATAGTGTTTATTTTCATTAAATACATTGTGGTCTTACGATACAAGAGTTACTTTGATGTTATAGTTTATGTTATTGTGGTGTATTAGACTCTGGTCCCTGTAATAAAAGTTATTTGATAACTTCAGTGTCTTTATTGGTCTCCATGTAAGTAATGAGGAGTTATGGCGAGACGAGGACACATCTTTGTCCGATACCTGACGTAATGAGGAATCAGTCTGTGATCTCTTCTCTTCTTATTGTGAACTGACTTTATTAATAAAGAGCTATAATATTAAAGAGCCACGAATTACCCAACAGTTGATTTAGAATACCAAGTTCTACTAGAAGGTTCCACTGTTTGCTTCTCTTTATTTGATGCCTCCTTTTAGTCTGTAAATATCAATTTTTATCACATTCTAATGTCTGCTTACGTACCGGACTCAGTGTGAATATTGCTACTCGCTCTTCCACTTCCTGCACACTGTCTGTTACTTATCTGAAGCCCTGTATGTTTGACAATCTTGTTTATCTCCTTTATTCTCATGCATGTCAAAATTATATCTTTCTGTTACTCCATCAGCACCTACCGAGTCTCCCAAGCTGGGTCATTGAGTCAGCCGGGTAACTACGGTTGTCTTATATGCAGTGACCTATACATGTCCTTGCCTCACAGAAGGATTAGTGAAAACTGGTACTATAGTTCGTTCAACAATTGATAAACACGCATGCAAACCATTTTTTCGAAAACAGCCTGTTAGATTGCAATGATTTTTTGCCTGCAGCCTTAGAATATCCACGACGCAGAAAAAAATATTATTCTTTAGTCCACAGATGCTTTGGATGCTGAATATCAGCCAATTCCTTTAATCTTTTCGAGCCACTGTAAATAAGTAGAGTGAACTTTTTCAGTAAACACCCGGTTCTATTTTATGTTCAGATGCCTGTCTTTAAAATACACTGATA